GTTTTCCAAATTACTCCAACTATCACACTATTTACATTAGGGCAATTCCACTGTAACGGAATTACGTTTTTACTTTAAAATGTATGCCAATCAAAAACCATTGATTTCCAAGTTTAACAAATCATTCAGCTCCATTCACAAGGACTACTTTGAGCAATTCACATAGAACATTTCACAAAAACACATTTACTGGAAGAACTGTGCAGATGCAAAGTTTGGTAACAAAAGTACGGTAAAATCTCCCTCCGTTTTTTTTGACCACATTTTCCAAAAACTCTGTTAAATATCTGCTCCAAATTAAGATTCAAAGATGTCTGCAGAAAGAATGGGGTGTCAACTATGACAAAATTATAATAATTTGGTTTACAGTAGGTGAAGTGGATTTACATCCCGTAACGAAATTACGGTAACGGAATTACATCATTGGTCCCTGATCTGTACTTTACAGAAATGCATAATTATGCATATGAATATCATTCTCTTCATGGTGATGTATCCTGAATAGGTACAAAGGTAGAAATATGCAATATTCATCTTTTGCATATTTAGTATTATTCTACACACTGACTATTATTGTAATGACCTATCCTTTTGGGGGTACTTAAGAATACTTTTTTTTTTTTTTTTTTGAGACCATAGGCCTACTGGTAAGGTTTATATGGGAGGATACTTCAGGGGTACTCGGGGCAGAGCAAAATTCAGTTGGTGCTACGGTCACCAAAAAAGGTTGGGAACCACTGCAGAAGAGCCCAGTAGAGTACAGTAAAGTATAGTTGATATGTTCAGTACAATGCAGTACATTATACTGTACTCTACTCTAGTGTGCTTTACTGTACTGAACTATACTGTACTTTTATTTTCTTTACTGTCCTGTACTGTACAATACTGTGCTGTCCAAACTTGTGAAACATAGATGTCTATGATTGGTTCAGATTTGGTCCGGCCTGGGCTGACTGACCAAATTTCAAGTACTTTTCAACGTCCATGGACACCCGGTGTCGGTCGGTATTCAGTGGGTGAGGATGCTTGTTACAGTAAATGGAAAGAGGGTAGGTGTCATGGTAGGTGACATTACCGGGGGGGGGAGAGAGAGAGCGGCAGAGAGAGGGAGGGGTTGTCCAGACTGTTTTCAGTCTTGCTTTGACCACCAGATGACAAAAATAGAAAAAACCCCAGTTATGAGCTGAACATAACAGGATGCCAATGTAAGTATGAAAAAAAATATTTATGTATGCACTGGATAAGAGCGTCTGCTAAATGACTAAAATGTTAAATGAAGGGAGGACAGTAGCAGGTGACCCAAATATGGTTTGTGACTACTGTGATTTCCCATTGTAGCCAATTCAGTTGCAGTAATTCCATTACAGATTTTGGGGTAAATCCGTTACCGATTTGGTAACTGAATTACATGTTTTAATCACTAAATAATAAATAAATAAACTTGATATCAGTAAAAATATTATAACAAATTGGTAGGTCTACCTTTACTTGTTACTTCTGTTAACTTTTATTATCCTCCTTCTTCATGAGGGAGAGAAATGTGAAAATATCTTAAAGATATGTGGGTTTTTGGTAACGGAATTACAAGGCACAATGCAATGTTTCTTAAACTTACAGAAGGTAAATAATGTATCCAAAGCTAAATATAAGTGTTGATATTAGCAGGCAAGGGTCTTTACTTCAACATTATGGTGTTGTGCTAATACCTTTTGACTTTTTCTGGTAGATGTTGTCTAAGACCCCTTTTCCATGTGTTTGACCAGAAATCAAAGCCTTTGCTTATTCCTAATTTGTAGGATGAAAATGGGTATAAAATGTATAAATGCCTTAATTTCTCAAAAATATAGACTCTTTGCTTTCATTTGACACCCAATTTGACATGTTCTTATGAACTTTACATGTTGGTGCTCATGGGTCCTTTTGGATGGAAATGTCTATTAGCATAGCTATAACACCAGCTGAACCAGTACATGACACTACTAGACAGAATTGTCCCTATATAGGTCGGTATGACATACTTTGTAGCCTACACTGGTTAGCTTACTCATTTGGTATCACTGTAGCAGCTAGCTTGCTGTTGCTATCAGGGTTTGGGTCAATTCCAAAGTAATGACATACTTTGTGTCCATGTTAGCCAAATGCTTTGTCATCACTGTAGCAACTAGCCGTATTGCTATACCCATCCCTGTTCCCCTGTAGCAGCTAGCCGTGTTGCTATACCCATCCCTGTTCCCCTGTAGCAGCTAGCCGTGTTGCTATACCCATCCCTGTTCCCCTGTAGCAGCTAGCCGTGTTGCTATACCCATCCCTGTTCCCCTGTAGCAACTAGCCGTATTGCTATACCCAGCCCTGTTCCCCTGTAGCAGCTAGCCGTGTTGCTATACCCATCCCTGTTCCCCTGTAGCAGCTAGCCGTGTTGCTATACCCAGCCCTTTTCACCTGTAGCAACTAGCCGTGTTGCTATACCCAGCCAACTAGCCGTGTTGCTATACCCAGCCCTTTTCACCTGTAGCAACTAGCCGTGTTGCTATACCCAGCCAACTAGCCGTGTTGCTATAACCCAGCCCTTTTCACCGTAGCAACTAGCCGTGTTGCTATACCCAGCCAACTAGCCGTGTTGCTATACCCATCCCTGTTCCCCTGTAGCAGCTAGCCGTGATGCTATACCCATCCCTGTTCACCTGTAGCAGCTAGCCGTGTTGCTATACCCATCCCTGTTCCCCTGTAGCAGCTAGCCGTGTTGCTATACCCATCCCCCTGTTCCCCTGTAGCAGCTAGCCGTGTTGCTAATACCCATCCCTGTTCCCCTGTAGCAGCTAGCCGTGTTTGCTATACCCAGCCCTGTTCCCCTGTAGCAGCTAGCCGTATTGCTTAATACCCAGCCCTGTTCCCCTGTAGCAGCTAGCCGTGTTGCTATAACCCAGCCCTGTTCCCCTGTAGCAGCTAGCCGTGTTGCTATACCCAGCCCTGTTCCTCTGTAGCAGCTAGCCGTGTTGCTATACCCAGCCCTGTTCCCCTGTAGCAGCTAGCCGTGTTGCTATACCCAGCCCTGTTCCCCTGTAGCAGCTAGCCGTGTTGCTATACCCAGCCCTGTTCCCCTGTAGCAGCTAGCCGTGTTGCTATACCCAGCCCTGTTCCCCTGTAGCAGACTAGCCGTGTTGCTATACCCAGCCCTGTTCCCCTGTAGCAGCTAGCCGTGTTGCTATACCCAGCCCTGTTCCCCTGTAGCAGCTAGCCGTGTTGCTATACCCAGCCCTGTTCCCCTGTAGCAGCTAGCCGTGTTGCTATACCCAGCCCTTTTCCCCTGTAGCAGCTAGCCGTGTTGCTATACCCAGCCCTGTTCCCCTGTAGCAGCTAGCCGTGTTGCTATACCCAGCCCTTTTCACATGTCTGTTGTGGTCTGTGGGGTGGGGCCCAGTATAAGTCAACTCTTTTCATAGCCCAGCTCAGTAAAGTAAAGACAATCTCTTTAACCCTATGGTTGAATAAGCACTCCTATTAAACCCCTAGGAGGAACAACCCTACTCTCTCCTGGTTACACAGACTGACATATGAATATATTATTAACCATGGCAGCATTGGCTCCTGTGCCACGCTGGCTGCCCCTTTATGCAGTATTTTAAGTGTTGCTGTGAGTAATGTTTCTGTGCCATCATTTGATACACACCCTTCTCGGGCGTGGCTATAGGACTCTGACTTAGTGTGTGTGTGCGTGCATAGATAGTTTCAACTGGTTTCAGGGCAACTGGTCCTTAAAACAGCTACATGTCTATTTTAGTGATAGTGTTTTGCTATTATTATTCAGTAGTAATAATAATACTAATAATAATAATACTAATAATAATAATAGCAAAACAGAATACTGTGTTAGACTCATGAAGTAGGCCTACCTCCAATAAGGTACACCCAGTCTTGTATCACAATCAGCAGTAAAAGTGACTGGTTAGTCGTAGTTTATAACACTTTTTAGGTTGGACCCCGAGAGATGCATTTGTGTGGTTGACTGGTTTCCGCTGTACAGTCACTGTTGACATTGAGACATGTTCTTATTCTGCCTGGTACCTGCCCTCTATTCTCTACCCTGCCAGTGCTTTGTGTGGTTCTTAATGGACTGTATGCAGTAGGGCTGACTGTTGTTTATCTATCTGCCTATATTAAAAGGTATCTGGGTAGTTCTGGGAGCTAGGTGAGCTAGCCTAACATGTCTACAGATCACGTGTGTGTCTGCATGGGTGGACACCTTCTCCAGGATTTTCCCTGAGAGAGAGCCTTGAAGGGAAAAAAACTGTTGTTGTTGTGACTGGTGGTTTTAATGGTGTGCCACCCAAGCAGATACAAATCCATTCAGCATACTTTTGTGTACACTAGTATGCACTTAATGCCACTGATTGTCCAGAGAGTTCACTCACCTGGTGTTCCAGGTGTAAATCAGTTTCTTATTGGACGGGAAGAATGCTGTGGACCTTGAGGCCAGATTTGAGAATAGGGGGTCATAGGTAGTGATGAGGGAAAACATTGATACAGTTACATATGGGGATGTTACTTTTGACGATATATCGTATAGTTTTGACAATATCGCAATATTATTTTTGCGCTAGTTGGCTGTACCTGCACCAAAACTCCAGTGTGTGTGTGTGTGTGTGTGTATATGTGTATATATATATATATATATATATATATATATATATATATATATATATATATATATATATATATATATATATATATATATATATATAGTTGTTTTCTCATGGCTCTCTCGTCCCTCTGCAAATATATATTTGGAACATCGAATCGCAATAAAGTAACAGTATCGAATCATAATACATATAGAATTGTGAGAATTGCAATACATATCGTATCGGCACCAAAGTATCGTGATAATATCGTATCGTGAGGTCCCTGGCAATTCCCTTGTCATAGGCTGTATAGCTGGAGTGTAGAACAGTATGGCTGGAGTAGCTATAGAGAATCAGTGTGTAGAGCTGAAGTAAGTAACCATGCTGCAGAAGGTCAGTCATCCTCAATCTGCAGCCGTGAGGTCACTGACTACGGAATGTAAATGAGATGTCAAAGGTCAACAGTTATCACACACTGGTCTGACATCAGCTAGGTGGTAAATGTTTCCCATTCCTGAGACCCTCAGTTGCCTGTTTAGCATTATTCTTCTCTGGCCTAGCTAGCCGTTAGCACACCAGAGGAGAAATCCCATTCGTACACATTAGCCAAATGTGCTACAATTCTGTTCATCATTACCCTTGTGTAGTGAATGCGGACTAACTGATCCAACTGATCTTTCACTTGACTTGACAAAAATGTCTCTGAGTTGATGTCTGGTGTGTACTTTTTGACATTGAATCAAGAGCTAAGACAGACCGTGGTAAGTTTAGAATGGCTATTAGCTTGTATGCTATTAGCCTCTGCCGAGTACCAAACAACTGGATGTTCCGGTCTTCAGGGGAAATGGAAAGACGCGACTTCCGCTTTTGGAAGTTAACAAGGCGACACTCCATCGTAACTCCTCCTCCACATTTACTGGATTGGTTGAACAGTGCAGAAGATAACCTCCTCTGACAGTCTTCTCGTCAGGAACAGTATGTAGGGGATCTAGTTTCAGGCGTTTATTTTACGCCTGCTACGTTCGGTTAGGTTGGACAAGGACTTCATACAACATGAAGGCCAGAGGGGCAGGGTAGTTAGAGTCAGTGGGGTTCGTTGAAGTAGGTTTTGTTGCATTAGAAATGAGAAGTGTGGTTTGTTTACACACCCAAAGCCACTTCCTTTGTCGTGTGCTGTTGGTTGGAAGACAGAGGAGAAAGCTTGCAGTGAGATGCCCATGTTCCTTTGCTGCCATGATCACATGAGTAGATTTGCAACCAAATGCCTTTTGAATCAACGTCTTTGTTTTGGGTTTGTTTTCCCCCTCAACATTCTTTAATCAACCACAATAGTCTGTAATTGAATTTGAAATAAACATACTTGAGTAGCTTGGGTCTAACTAGAGGCATTCAAATAGAGTGCTCTGGTATAGTTTTGCCAACATAGAGATACAGATAACAAACTAATTGTATCTCTTTGGTTGCCAAAAGATGAGCCAGCCAGGTGCCATGCCAAGCCACCGCCCTCTCTTTGTCTGTCCTTTCATTCACCGGCAGAATCTGGTGTGTTGCCTAGCGCAAAAATATTTATCCAAAAGGAGGGCAGCGTGACTCGTTAGCCCACTTTCCGCCCCTGGGTGTATGTGACCTCACTTTCCCCTCCCTACTTCCTCCCAACCCGTCTGGGGGGACTTGTTCCAATACTTTACTGATAAATCCTTCCCTCCTTTCCTTCCTTCATTTAAGGTTCATTACTGATTATCACTTACTGGTGAAAACACCAGGCTGCAACCATGATATCACATATCTAATCACGTACAGTTTAAATCAGGGATTGCCTCAAACCCAGCTCGCTAAGGCCTTTAGTTTTGACAAGGTCAACACAACTGTGCTCCCACAAGACACACTCTTAGAAAAAAGTGTTCCAAAAGGGTTCTTTGTATGTCCCCATAGGAGAACCCTTTTTGGTTCCAGGTAGAACTATTTTGGGTTCCATGTAGAACCCTCTGTGGAAAGGGTGGAACCAAAAAGGGTTCTTCAAAGGGTTCTCCTATGGGGACAGCCGAAGAACCCTTTTAGGTTCTAGATAGCATATTTTTTTTCTAAGAGTGCATAGAGGAAGTAATGTTGTCAGAGTGAACAACAGTAATCACTCCAAGGAATGTTGAATGGCAAAATAAAGTTAATCTGAATAGTATAAGTAGTATACTATTAGTATAGGACAGTATTTTACTAGTAAGAATTTAGGATACAGTTTGACTAGTAAGATCTCAACCTCTGTCATTCTTTCTCTCGCTCTCTCCATCTGTCTCTCGCTCTGTCTCTTTCTCCCATTCCTATCATCTCTGTGTAACAGTAGAATCATTTTAAACTGGCTTGACTGGTTGGTTCAATCTAAACATCTTAAAGATACTTAGCAGGGTATGAGACACTCACACACATTGTTGGGAATCATAGCATAATAAATACAGTATGCTGTGCTGTAACTCTGGGACATAGGGAGAATCTCAAAACACATACTCCTCGTGTCCTCTCTCCTCGCCTCCTTCTCAAAACCCATTGGATAAGAAAGCCAGAGGTCAAATCTAAGGTCCTGCCACTCTCACCTTCTCCTCCAATGAGTTTTGAGAAGGGAGAGTGGAGAGAGGACACGAGGAGTATGCAATTGAGATTCTCCCATAGCCAGTATGGGTGGAGAGGGTGTATGAAGTCTTCTTGCCCCGTGGGTCACCTCCACTAAAAGGGTCCCCTTTAACATACTCCACCTGGTTTCTGCATTCCTCAAACCTGCAATGTTAGTTAGTTATTCTCACCGCTTCAGTCACAATTCCACATACACCCAACAGTAGGATATGGGATCTGCTTGGTTACGTAATATCATGAGAAAAGCTGTAGAGAATCCTTGGACAAACTGTTTTGATTATCTCATATGATGCTATCAGTCCATTGACATGTGGGGTGTCAGTCATGTCATATAATTTCCCCTTCTCTCTAGAGATCAGCTGCTTCACATGTCACAGTTGTAGCGTGTATAACAGGGGATATATAACCTCTGGAATACACACCTAAGGTTGGTAATTGATGGGTCCTCTTTGATGTGTGAACGTAAGCTAGGGCATGAGAGAAAGATTCCGATTTCCTGTGATATCGGTTCTGACCAAGTCTAGATACATTTCCAGAAAGTGTATCGTCGATTCCCGTGGTCTTCTTGAATATATAAGTGAAAATGTATATCACGAAGAACTACAAGTTAGGCATTATAATAACACAAGGGTAAATCCATTTGAATTCAATCACTTTTTGACAGCACCCTTTTGATTTGAACAAAACCTTCCATACATATTAGCCCATTTTAGAAGTGTTCAGAAAGTGACTTTCATGACCTGAATGCCAAAACATTCAAGAGATAAAGGTGCTCAAAGTTGAACCCCACCATATCATAGTTGTAGACCCTACCATACCATGAGACATCCATGTCTTCATCACTGGAAAAGATAAACGTTTGAGATTGGTATAATTTAAAAGCTTACAAACAGGGTTGTCAAACTATTATAATTTATTGAAATATACCCTGTATTCAAGAGAATGTTGTGTCTCAACCGATGACGGGCACAACACAAACACCTCAGATGTAAAGTAGGGTCTAAGCTACAACATACAGTGCCTTGCAAAAGTATTCATCCCCCTTGGCGTTTTTTCCTATTTTGTTGCATTACAACCTGTAATTTAAATGTATTTTTATTTGGATTTCATGTAATGGACATACACAAAATAGTCCAAATTGGTGAATTGAAATGAAAAAATAACGGAAAAGTGGTGTGTGCGTATGTATTCACCCCCTTTGCTATGAATCCCCTAAATAAGATCTGGTGCAACCAATTACCTTCAGAAGTCACATAATTAGTTAGATTGCACACAGGTGGACTTTATTTAAGTGTCACATGATCTGTCACATGATCTCAGTATATATACACCTGTTCTGAAAGGCCCCAGAGTCTGCAACACCACTAAGCAAGGGGCACCACCAAGCAAGCGGCACCATGAAGACCAAGGAGCTCTACAAACGGGTCAGGGACAAAGTTGTGGAGAAGTACAGATCAGGGTTGGCTTATAAAAAAATATCAGAAACTTTGAACATCCCACGGAGCACCATTAAATCCATTATAAAAAAATTGAAATAATATGGCACCACAGCAAACCTGCCAAGAGAGGGCCGCCCACCAAAACTCACGGACCAGGCAAGGAGGGCATTAATCAGAGAGGCAACAAAGAGATCAAAGATAACCCTGAAGGAGTTGCAAAGCTCCACAGCGGAGATTGGAGTATCTGTCCATAGGACTACTTTAAGCTGTACACTCCACAGAGCTGGGCTTTATGGAAGAGTGACCAGAAAAAACCATTGCTTAAAGAAAAAAATAAGCAAACACAAAAGGCATGTTGGAGACTCCCCAAACATATGGAAGAAGGTACTCTGGTCAGATGAGACTAAAATTGAGCTTTTTGGCCATCAAGGAAAACTCTATGTCTGGCGCATCACCCCGAGAACACCATCCCCACAGTGAAGCATGGTGGTGGCAGCATCATGCTGTGGGGATGTTTTTCATCGGCAGGGACTGGGAAACTGGTCAGAATTGAAGGAATGATGGATGGCGCTAAATACAGGGAAATTCTTGAGGGAAACCTGTTTCAGTCTTCCAGAGATTTGAGACTGGGATGGAGGTTCACCTTCCAGCAGGACAATGACCCTAAGCATACTGCTAAAGCAACACTTGAGTGGTTTAAGGGGAAACATTTACATGTCTTGGAATGGCCTAGTCAAAGCCCAGACCTCAATCCAATTGAGAATCTGTGGTATGACTTAAAGATTGCTGTACACCAGCGGAACCCATCCAACTTGAAGGAGCTGGAGCAGTTTTGCCTTGAAGAATAGGCAAAAATCCCAGTGGCTAGATGTGCCAAGCTTATAGAGACATACCCCAAGAGACTTGCAGCTGGAATTGCACGTTCAAGTTTTCTGTTTTTTTGTCTTATTTCTTGTTTGTTCCACAAGAACAAATATTTTTCATCTTCAAAGTGGTATGCATGTTGTGTAAATCAAATGATACAAACCCCCAAAAAATCCATTTTAATTTCAGGTTGTAAGGCAACAAAATAGGAAAAATGACAAGGGGGGTGAATACTTTCGCAAGCCACTGTATGTGAATATGAAATAAATTGGGGTTTACGCGTTTTTTGATAATTTACATTGAAGGTAAAAGTCATAATTAAAAAACAACAGATTTTTCAAGCAATTATTAAATAGTTTGACAACCCTGTCTGTTAGCTTTTAAATGATATCAAACTCAACCGTTTATCTTTTCCAGTGATGTCTCATGGTATGGTGGGGTATGCAAAATGGGTCAACTTTGAACACCTCTATCTCCTGAATGTTTTGACATTCAGGTCCAAAACGTCACTTTCTGACCATGTCTTCCATGGGCAAACATGTATGGAAAGTTTGGTTTAAATCAATGGGGATGCTGTCAAAAAGTGTTTGCATTCAAATGGATCTACCCACAGGTAATAGTGTTATAAGTGTGTGAATCAGTCAGCTTTTCACTTTTCGCTGCTATGTGCCACAATAGCTAGTGAATAGGAGACATTCTAGAACCGTTGGTCATTTTATCAATGGAACAGGATTGCTACATGTGATGTTTCTCTGCCCTTGTCATGCAAAATGTGTGTGAGGAAATGGTACAGACATTTGAGAAGCATGGAATGTATTGTTTTGCTGTGGTTCATTTCAAGCCAAGAATATGCTAAATTGTGTCAGTGATTCTGACAATGATTAAGTCTGTGTTTTCTACTATGAGTGACGAAAACTTCTCCGTTCATTGTATGTTTTTTAACTCTCTCTCTCTCTCTCTCTCTCTCTCTCTCTCTCTCTCCAGTCGCAGCCCAGACAATATTCACCCACTTCAGTGGCACAGGTTGCTGTGAATCCAGCACAATTTGAGGTAACATTACTACACACTCTTCCTTAACCCCTCTTCTCTCATTCTCTCTCACCCTGTCCCTCTCTCCTTTTCCCTCTCTCTGTCTCACACACCTCTTCCTCCTCTTCCTCTGCCCAGCCTTCACCTTCTTTTCTTTGGGATAGGTCCCAGTTTCTGATCTGGCTTCCAGTTTATTTGACCCTTGGCCCCTTCTTTGGGCGATGCTTGGTATTGTTAATGTCTTTCCTGTTTCGACAGAGTAGTGCTGCCCAGTGTGTTCCAGTCTGTGTTATTACCATAAAACCATAAAGGATAGGGAAAACAATTTAGCAAGATTATATAGAAAAAGAAAACTCCCCTCTTCCTCCCATTCAGGCAAAGGATTGGTCACACCCAAATGTTCAGGGAGTGGAACAATGGCTTTAGAATGAAATATAGGCTTATGTTATTCAGCTCATTTGATTTTGTAAATGCTTCCAACTAGAATGTTTTAAACATATCCTGAATTATTCTATACATTTCTAATAGGCTTGGTATTTTGTGTTTATTATGTGCTTGGCTTTATTGAGGGACATTTTTTTAAATTCTTGACTCTGTAAAGGTGATGACCTCCAGACATAATTTCACACCAGTGTTGTTATGTTGTCTCCCATTCAGGAAATGGGCTGTTAAAATAGGTTGTTAAGAATAAGAAAATCCAATGCATTTTTGGATCCAGGGGACAGTATTTCTGGATCCGGGGGGACAGTATTTCTGGATCCGGGGGGACAGTATTTCTAGGTTTCAGGAAGGCAGTAGTGATGCACTTGGCCATCAGCAACAGTCAATGTCTTCCCTACTACTGCCGAGTGGCGCAGTGGTCTAAGGCACTGCATCGCAGTGCTCTGTCGTAGCCGGCCGCGACCAGGAGACCCATGGGGCGGCGCACAATTGGCCCAGGGTAGGGGAGGGAATGTCCGGCAGGGATGTAGCTCAGTTGGTAGAGCATGGCGTTTGCAATGCCAGGGTTGTGGGTTCGATTCCCACGGGGGGCCAGTATGAAAAATACAAAAAATAATGTATGCACTCACTAACTGTAAGTCGCTCTGGATAAGAGCATCTGCTAAATGACTAAAAATGTACTGTCAGTTCAAAAGCTCTATGCTAAACAGTAGCACTGTTTTAGTTGCTTTCTCTCCAGAAAATAGAAAGATGAACTACAGAGAATGCCTATAGTCAGCACACATTGCACAGCATCTTCTTTAACTGGTTTCCAGCCCAATATTTATAGGGCCTACAGATTGGACAAACTGTTCCTTTGTTTGAATTTCGTTTTTTGTTGTTGTGGGGTTGGGCGGGCAGTGGGGGAACTGAAAGTAAAAAAATTAAAATAAAAGGGTTTTAATCAACGTGTAACCAAAGTTTACAACCTTGATTTAGGTGTTTTGGTAGGTCGTTGACCACTCAGGACAAAGGAATTACCGAACTGGTTTCCATAGAGAAGTTGTATCAGTTCCCTGAATCGCTTTCCTGAATCTATTCCAAAATTCCTCTCTCCTATGCCCAAACAATGCCATGGTGACAGCAAAGGGCAGAGATGCCAACCTGAGGTGGCGTATTCACATGTCCCCCAACTCCATGACAACACAACATAAAATGCAACCTATTCTGGTGTCTGACTCCGCGTGAAACCCAGGAAGAGTGAAAATTCCTTTGGCTTGTGAAGCTGTGACAGACTGTTTGCTACGTAGGAAAGCTACTCAGGTTTCACTTGTATCAAATGCATGCACTGCATACCTATGTAGAGATTTATGCATACGCACACGGTTATGTATAGGACTATATGCATCTGTACATACTCTGCCGTATGGTAATCATTTTTACTTTCCAAAATTTTTTGTTCTTGTCAGTCATTTGTTAGTTTTTTGAGGGGAAAGCGTCACTAGGCACAGAATGATATAGATAAGCAATTGGATAACGCAAGCTGAAAGGAATCAAATGTGACCGAGCCAATCACAATCCTTGTTGCATTACAGAGTGCATCTGCCGCCTCAACCATGGCTACGAAGCCAGGTGGAGCCATGGGTGGAGCCACAGGAAGTGGTGTCGCAGCGGGAGGAAGTCCTACTACAGCCGGGACAATGCAGAGAGGAACGGCCAAAGTGATGATGCCAGAGGTAGACTGGTTACTGTGTCTATGGAGATTCTCGTGGGACAATCATGGCTTATTCTGACATTCTTAACTCTCTTCCCAAATGCATTCCCATGGGTGTAGTGTACACTCTGTTAAATGGAATCTCACTCTTCTACTCTTTATTCTCACCTGCAACCCTTCAGTCACAAGCTCTTTACATCTGCTTGGGCTCTCTGCCATTGACTCCTTCACAGCTTGGCCATCACTCTTCACTATGACCGCAATGAGCTTATTGATTGACTGAGCTTTTTTACATGCTGGAGAATGGGATTAGGGCTCTTCACTGTCTATTGGAGATGTGCGTAACATGTTGTTGGCTGGTTTTTGTTTTTCCTAACCACATTTCCATAATGTGTTCTACACCTGCTTCTTGGTTTGTAGACGGCACTTGTCTCTCCTAACACTGCGGCAGCAGGTGCTACTATTATTGACATACCAACACCTGGGACCAGAGGCAGTCCTAAAGACACCCCAAAGGTAACGCCAAACACCCCTCCCCTAAATATAGTAATGGTTTCATCCTCTGGCCGTTGTATGACCTGTTAATAGTCTGAATGACTGCTGGGTTTCAGATTCCGGGTAGATGTTGCCCGTAGGCACAGATCTAGGATCAGCTTACCTTCTCTAAATGCCTAACTTAACCAATATGGGAAGTGAATGCAAAACTGACCCTAGTTTAGTGTCTAGGGCCAACTTTACCTTACTTTACCCCCTAGATTTTAATAACCCCTGCACCTCACACTCACTGGACCCCCATTCACCTTTACATATTTGAATTTAAAGGGTGTCAATACATTGAATCTGCTCTGTTTGTGTTGTATCCATTGAGTTTTAAGTCATTCCTCTTAATTATAGACTGCACCCATGCAACCTGCCAAAGCTACACCTCCTACCCCTGGAGGAGTAAATATTGTAGGAGTGGCGGCGACACCGTGGAAAGCTGAAGTACCGAAGCTCAAAGAGTCTCCGAAACAGACAGCCACGGTAGATGGCAGACAGTCGATGAGTGTGGTGCGGCGCCTCTTTCTCCTCCATCTTTATTCTTTGCCCGGCCTAGCTCTCTTTAACCTCACTCTCCCTTTCAACACTCTCTTCCTGCGTCATTATTCCATGTCTTCTTCGTCATCATCAGACCTTGAGGTTTTAGTCATTCTCTTTGTCTCCATATTCTTCCACACCTTTATATCCTCCATTTTCTCTCTGCCGATATACTTCAAAACGTATCTCTGCTTTGGACTTCCTTAGTTTTGGCCTGGAGGTGTCTGTGTGTCTAACTGGGAATTGAACGTGCTCTCAAGCTCTAATGTGACTGAGTCTTACCAGCATGCCCACACTTGTGTTACGCTCGACACGTCAAAACAAACCATGTCTGTCAAGTCTGACACATCAACACAGAGAAGGCACAATATATTTCCACCTTTGCTTTTTCGTCTGGTTGCTTCGCACCACATCTTGTATTGCTTTCTGAGTATTGCTTCCAGCTTTGCGTACCTGGTTTAGGTTGATGGAGTCCTGTTCATGTATTTCTGTTTCGCTGTACCCTCTTTGAAACCCTATGGCAGTGCTTACCACCGTCCTATTACTTTTCTTAACAGTGACGACAAATGACAAATTCTGATTAGGTACTTATCTGATTAGGTACTTATGCCTTTCCTTTATCATTACCTATGGGAGATAAGGTGTTAACTATCGTCCTATCACTCTACTAAACTTTGACTAAGATTATGCGCAGCTCTCTGAGCTCTGCTCTACACCTAGTCTAATGGAATGAGCCATATGCATTTGTAGAGTGTGCCCACCACATCAAGCAAAGCTGACATGGGTAAAAAGGATCCTGCTATGTTGCCTCAGGCTGTTTCTGCAGGCGGTGCCGCGGCTTGAGGCGCCTCTTTGAAGGGTCCAGAGACCAAGGTAGACTCCGGATTACTTTTGGATATTAACTACGCTGTAGTAGAAGACGACTCTTGGGGGTGGGGCTATCCCTGGTGTTAGGGGGTTATCATTGATCACTTCCCTGTGTCTTCCTCATTCTTTCTCTGTTTTCACACGATGTAACCATGAATTATAACAGTGGAAGCAGTGAGGAAGGTTTACTGTACCATTCTATATTTAATTTGACTACAGGAAAAAGAGAGTGCTTTTTGCTCCTGCGTGACTACTACCTATGTGGGTTTGTTTGAATTGAACCCACAACCACCCAGAAGCTCAGTTGGGCACAGGATCTGAGCAGTATCACATATAGTAGCCCAGTGTTGTATTCACTAACCTCTCCTGCTCTGGGTTGCAGGTACAGGTGGAGGTAGGTCCCCCGGCAGCCAAGACAGCCAAAGCGGTAAATAATAGATCTATGTTTTCTCTCTATGTGGGTTTTATATTGCACAAAAATGAATGGCATGGAGTTGCGTTGCTCGTGTTTGAGTTGTGTCGCATCATGTGTAGGAGCTTGCTGCGGACCCCTTCGATGCCCTGGCTGATTTCTTGCCCTCGTCAGAGCCTCTCCCCGCTGCAGGCCCTGTATACACCGGGCCAGAGGTGATAGAGGTACAGCACCCTCACATAGTGTGTGTGTGCGCACGGTGCGAGTTGAATAGATGTGTGTGTGTGTGTGTGTGTCCACCCAGTCACCAAATGTAACAGTGTGTGTTATTGCATGTGTCACACAGCATGGCTTGACCCATCAGGAAGCAGTTATATGTGGGGGGAACAACTGCCCACTGCCCCCAGCATACCGATTTGAGGACATGGTCAGTCCCTAACTCTTAATCACCCTTCTCCTCCAGTCTTCTTCCTCCTCCTCCTCATCATAATCATCATCATCATCACTTCTGTTGCTGTTAGAGAACTTTGAGTTTGTGTGTCTTTAGCTTTGCACCGCAGTGCTCTCTTTGACATGACACATTTGACTGAAACTCTTGGTCATCAGGTCTCCTAGCCCCTAGCCTATCCCTGGACACTTGTGTAGTTCGGAGATGACTTGATAGGCGTAAGCAATATGGCCAAATGTCCACCAAGCTGATCAGAGAACAAGATGGAGCTACTACCATATGTATGCAATTCTTTCAGATCTAAATGCTAGGGTCAGGGCTAGGGTTAGTTTCTGGACCAGGCTGGAAAAGCCTGTGTATAGTTACCGCCCTTGAATCATCTTTTGTCATTCTTTTCAGAACATGATCAGATTCTATTTAAATCTAGGCATACTCAACTATGTAATTAATGAACTTTTAAAATGGTTTTCATTTTCATAGGCCCCTGTTGCAGATGTCAAGCCAAAGGATGTCCCGGTAAGTCATTGTATTAACTGCCAGGCAATGCACTGTATGCTGTGGCGAAAACACAGAGATATTGACTCCCCCTCTCCTTTCCTCTTTCTCTCTCCTTCTCTCTCTCAATCTTTCTCACATACACAAACGGACTCACACATGCACGCGCACACACACTGAACGAAATAAACCGTAGGCGTGATTCCCTGGTCTCTTCTGACAGTGTTGGTTACCTCTACAGTGTGGAATGTTGCATTGCACTGAGGGATGTTGGCTCTGCAAACAACAATAGACCCATCTCAACCAGCAGGTTCTAGTTGTGCCAAACCCTATTACACACACACACACACACACATACACACACACACACACACACACACACACACACACACACACTAACAGAGGATTTATAGTCAACACACAATCACTCATTACTCGTTTTACATTTTTACATTTTAGTCATTTAGCAGACGCTCTTATCCAGAGCGACTTACAGTTAGTGAGTGCATACATTTGAGTGCATACACACCTATTCACCCATACACACCTACACAAACATACTGTATACAGGCCGTTCTACCAATTTGGTGCTTTTTGAGAAGTGTAACTTGGTCCCCAAAAATGTTTGATTTGACCTAATTTTAACAATCTGTCATAAAGAGCACATGTTCAACTTCATAGAAAACTCATTTTCCCATCTCGAGGTAAAAAAAATATATATATATATATATATATATATATATATATATATTAAGTGCCTATTAATAGATGGTAAGGGACTTTGAGCGGTTCTGGACCGGTTCCGACTGATATTTTGGTGTACAAAGCACTCTGTGAACGCTGTAGGGTCCTGTGCCTTATAATGCCAGAAAGCCCCATCTGTCTGCTCCCTGCTACCACTCTCTTAGTGCAGCTGACTTTAAGTTTCCGGCTTTCAGACCCCACATTTGCATAGGGAGAGATGTGTCACATATTCTGGCCTATCCAGACAAATAATTGATTCATTCTTCCTCTGAGCGAATGAGCCCGGCCTGTGAGACGGCATATGAACGGTGACAGTCTAGCGGATCCAGGCGTTGTGGTTTCATCTCACTGTGATATTCTCAGCCGGATTTAAAGCCCTCAACATGAAAAAATACTAAAAAGTTTCATAGAATTGAAACAATACCACTTTCTTTTGGTCACAGACAGACGAAATTGTGCTTAAAGCTGAAGTTGCAACATGCCCTGTACACATTTGAATGGTGTCTCTGCGCCGCTCAGTGGACGTTTAGGATAAAATTATCTGTTAAATGCAAGCTTTACAAAAACAATGCAATTGTTAAACAAAAAGTGCCTGTCTATCTATTGGTAACAGGTTTGACGTGTTACAAAACAACCAGACCATGGCCAAAAAGAGTAGAACCAGCTCACCTGCTTTTACACTATGATTTGTCTATTAGATGTTCAATGTTTCTTTTGCAAAAAAATATTTTAAAAGGAATAGTTTCACCATATTAAAACGAGAATTCAGTTCACATAACAGGGTTGACCTTAAAATGAGGGACAGATGTAAATTAATCACTAATCACATGAAATAAATAATAATCTTCAGAAAAGACTTTGTAAAAGCAACAAATTAACTAGGGCTGTATGATGTTGGTGAAACTTGGCAAAAGTTTGTGGTTAAGTGGGTTAAAATCTTAGACACAGGGTTGACGTTGGGACTAGTCAAAATGCAGAATTTTGGTATATTGAATTCTTCAGATTGATTTAATTATTCATGTGGTCTATATTAAAGGTCACTTCATTTAATATAACAGGCTTTTAAAATTCAATATTGGTGCACAATTTCTACTTTAAATATTAAAGGGACGCAAAAGACACCCATTTCTTGGAACAACCCATACACACACTTATTCACCCTCTGTCCCAACTTTGGGCCACACCTTGTTTTGCACTGTAGTTCTCTCTGTTGTATACCTCTGCTTCTAAGAACTTCTTTGGATATGAGGCAAACTCTTTTACCCATCAAATATGTTGTCAAAAGTGAGTTGTCTAAAATTGCCCATTGGTTATGTGTTGGTTTTTGTAATACAACTGACGCTCTAAACCTGATGCTAAGTAAAGGGAGTCTGCTCAGAGTCGTTTGCCGAGTGCTTGGTTGTGAGTAAGATCCTAGGGAATGTGATGGGTGTGTCAGTACTTTTCCTTCTGGTCTGCCACACATGGTCTACATTATTCTGCAGTCTTTCATTTGAGTTAGTCTAAAGCGCCATCTAGTGGTGTATTATGAAGACACAACTTTTACTGGAATCCTTTGTGTATTACAATGCTTTGTTTGTTTACTTCTATCAGAAACCCATGAGCACAGATGATGCTCTGGACTCCCTCTCCGTTGGGTTCACGACCTCTACTGCTCCCATCCCTCAGAAACAGGAGAAGGTGAGACTGCACTATTTACAGGTTATAATCACTTAGAGGCCATTTTCCCTGAAACATACATTGGGTAACAGGATTATTATTAGTCCCATAGTCTTTTGGGTGAGACCGCGGTCCTGACTCTTCCATGTTAATATATGATAGTGATACTGTGAATAAGAAGTGAGGTGTCATTATAAACCGATGACATTTAATCTATTAACAGAAAGTGGAGGACTTGGCTGCCATTGATGCCTTGTCTGCTGGCTTCTCCAACTTCGCTCCACCTCCAACCGCTCCTGTCAAGGTAAATGAAGAGTGATGATATTTCACTTGAATCCTCCATTGTAAAACTGTATTGTAAAATAAATTAGCATGACATGGTAAACTGTTATGAACACTAATGTCAGGTTATGTCTCCGGGACCACCCATACGTAAAAATGTATGCGCACAACTGTAAGTCGCTTTGGATAAAAGCGTCTGCTAAATGGCGTATTATTATTATTATGTCAATTGACATAACATGGTCATAATGACACCTAGCAACATTTTGGCTAGCTTGTCGGACTGCTAACTCGCTAGCCACCTACTGGTTATTATGTGATGGTTCTGATGAATAGCCTGCCCTGCATACTGCTGCATACAACATGACAGTGTCATGTAATTTTGACGTACACCGATGTCGGCAGTAATAGCTTATGACAACTGTTATGTAAAGGTAAGCTGCTGTGAAGCTGCTGTGAAGACAGCTTTATAGTGAATGGTTCAAGTGAGCTTTTACCAAAGGGTTTCCCCTCTTCCTCTCAACTAGAACCCAATAAACAGTATTCAACGGAATCAAATAATCTCTCTCCTCCATTCCAGAAAGCTGAGTTTAAGTCTACTGTTGTGACCAAGTCTGCTGCTCCCACCGCAGACATGAAAGCTAAGGTGGAAAAGGTAAATACCACCAAAGAAAGCAGGTCCTACGTCATGATCACACATTAATAAGCCATGCGTAACAATGTAATGAGCCCTACATAGACACTGACAAACATTCATTTCCAATGTTATATTGGGTATTTCATCATTGCATCCTGTCATGCTTTGTGGTGGGTTGGGTACTGTACTGTGTCAGCAAAAAAAAAGAATTACATGCGAAATATCTATTCCGTGTAATACTTCTGTCTGGTTATGAAGCTGTTATCTATTTACATTTATTTGTGTTTCAGTTGGCTGACTCCCCACTGGACACCAAGCCTAAGACAGATAAGGTTTGTCATAGGAGGGATACAGTTTCAATCTAACCAGTGAAATACTGTTACTTTTGTACTATGCATCATCCAATGTGCTTGTTGATCATTTTATCTACCCCCTCTCTGTCCCCCTCTCTGTATCTGTCCCCCTTTCTCTGTCTGTATTTCTTTCTTCATGTCCCTCTCTGTCCCCCTCTCTGTATCTGTCCCCCTTTCTCTGTCTGTATTTCTTTCTTCATGTCCCTCTCTGTCCCCCTCTCTGTATCTGTCCCCCTTTCTCTGTCTGTATTTCTTTCTTCATGTCCCTCTCTGTATCTGTCCCCCTTTCTCTGTCTGTATTTCTTTCTTCATGTCCCTCTCTGTCCCCCTCTCTGTATCTGTCCCCCTTTCTCTGTCTGTATTTCTTTCTTCATGTCCCTCTCTGTCCCCCTCTCTGTATCTGTTTCCCTTTCTCTGTCTGTATTTCTTTCTTCATGTCCCTCTCTGGCCCTCTCTGTGTCTGTGTGTCTCCAGGGTATGTCCCTGGATGCCCTCAGTGCTCTGGGAGACACTCTGGCTGCTCCAGAACCAGCGCCTGAACCTCCCAAGATCAGACCTGAGGACATTGTCACGGTACCCACACTGACTTGTATTCCGTCTGTGCTACATTTGTGTGTGCGCATAGCGTGCGTACGTGTGTGTAAAACATTTTTGTGCACATTTCTGTTCTGCAGGAGGGCAAACTGACATCAGAGGCGGCTGTGTTTGTGGGTGAGAGGGACGACACTCTCCCACCAGAGTACAGGTTCAGAAAGGACAAAGGCAAAGACCTGCCTCCTCCCAAGAAAGAGGTGAGTCATCAAACGCCTCATGTCCCACTATCATCACACCTATAGTAAATACCAGTGGCGACCTCCAAAGGGATCTAATGTTATAGTATACTGAGATTTGAGTCACAGTACTCATACTTCTCCCCATCTCTACTCTGTTTTCTCTCTCTCTCTCATTCTCCAGCCCTCCATGGACTCTGGTGAGGCTCTGGACATCCTGTCAGGTGACTTCATGTCTTCCTCTGTGGCTCCAGCTGTCCAGGCTCCTGTCCTCTGCCCCCCAGCTCCTCCCACACAGGTGAACAACACCCTCTATCATTGGTCTTTCACTTATCTAACCATCCCCTAATTGGTCAACTCTGTTATGAATCGAATTACCCCTCCAATACTTTCATTTTCTATGGGTCTGTTGGTAATCTTCTAAGTGAAAGTCATTCCAATGCCATTACTTTAGGGCTATCATAATATGGCATGTCAGTAAGAATCAACTGATATTGCAGAAAGTGGGTTGTCATCAATGCTCATGGCATGATATAACAGGCATTTTGTCAATCTTATGACAGCCTTATGAAGGCATTATAAGCTGTAAGTATGTGAGTCTATCTCTCCCAGGCCAAAATAGATGAATTATCAGCCCTGGATGCCTTGGCTGGAGACTTTGTGGCCCCTACTAAGGCCTCTGCTGTCCAGGCCCCCGTGTTGCCTCACCTCGACAAACCCCCACAGGTAAACTCACTGAGGTGTTTGTATATTTTGAGTTTGTCCTGTAGTTTAGTTATGTGGTGTGTGTGTGCGTTCATTGTATTCAAATCATATAGTTTGTGTTTGTGTGTGTGTGTGTATGTACAAGTGCTTGTGTAGGCATGTGTGTACCTTGTGTATTGCCGACTGTCGGGTCATGGTGCGTGTGTGCATGCATAAGCATATGTACAGTATACCTCGTGGACTGTCAGGTCATATCATGTGTATGTGTTTTGCCCCTGCTTCCTGTCTATAGATAGCCATCTGTACATTTGACCTTGAAGCCCCCAACATGGCCACTACTAAACCCGCAGCACCTACTAAACCCGCAGCACCTACTAAACCCGCAGCACCTACTAAAACCGCAGCACCTACTAAAACCACCACTGATGAGGTAACCATGCTACCTGTAGACACAGGGGAAATCTAAGGCGCAGGAAGATACAGTAAGAGACTCAACTGAAGAAAAAAGTCCCTGCACACAGCTAATCCCTCTCTCTCTGTGTGTGTCTCCAGGGTATGTCCCTGGATGCTCTCAGTGCTCTGGGAGACACTCTGGCTGCTTCAGAACCAGCGCCTGAACCTCCCAAGATCAGACCTGAGGACATTGTCACGGTATACATACACTGAAAATAAAGTGACCCTATTCTATTCTATTCTTACAATGACTAGCTTATAGTGCAGTACATCGTGTATCAGTCCCTGTGATCCTTTAAAAAAAATGATATAATTCATTTCAACTCTGCTTGTGTGTGTGTATACACGTGTGTTTATGTGTGTGTGTTTTTGTGTGTGTGATGTGTAGGAGGGCAAACTGACATCAGAGGCGGGTGTGTTTGTGGGTGAGAGGGACGACACTCTCCCACCAGAGTACAGGTTCACAAAGGACAAAGGCAAAGACCTGCCTCCTCCCAAGAAAGAGGTGAGCCTCATATACGCAAAGCGCAAGTCATTGGGAGATAAATAAAAAGACTGATTATGTTTCACCATGAGAAGAACTAATAAAAACGAAGAAGAAATCATAACTACAGCTCTCCTCCCTCTCCTCTCCCGTCCGCTCCTCCCCTCTCTCCAGCCCTCCATGGACTCTGGTGAGGCTCTGGACATCCTGTCAGGTGACTTCATGTCTTCCTCTGTGGCTCCAGCAGTCCAGGCTCCTGTCCTCTGCCCCCCAGCTCTTCCAAAACAGGTGAACAACACCCTCCACCATTGGTCACTCACTTATCAAACCATCCAGTGATTGGTCTGCTCTGTATAAATCTATGACCAGCCAATAAGTGTTTTTATGTCTGGTTGCTTTAAGTGGCTCCTAGTTTTTCATCGGTAACAGAACAGCTCACTTAACATATACATGCCTTGCTCTTACTTTTTCCCTCCGTCTCTCCTCTCCTCCTCTGTGTCTGTAGACCACAGATGACTTTGCCTTGGATGCCCTGGCAGGGGAATTTGTAGCCCCAGCTGTTGCCCCTGCAGTCAAATCTGCTGCTAACCGCCAGGTACTGACACACACAGACACACACACACACACACTTAATGTGAGATTATTGTTGTCCTATGCCTAATTCATATTTAGTGGCTCAGTCAGATCCCCATTGTCAGCAGTGACATGTAACCGTGTGTGTGTGTGTGCGCGCGTGTGTGTGTAGCTGTCTACAGGGACGGTAGATGCTCTGGATGCCTTGTCAGACACCCTGATGGACATGACTCCTATCCCAGAGCCTGTTCCCGTCTCAATTAAGGACATTGTCAAGGTACTTATAAAGGGTGATATGAAGGCTTCATTAAGCCTACACAAGATGTATTTAGTTTAAAGTGTGACCAACTGGAAATTCACTCTGTTGCAACACAACTGTTGAAGGCTATTCCTTGGTAAAGAAATAAGCCTTACCTCACTGCAGCGAAACCTTTAGCATTTATTATGAGCTAATGCTAATGCTATCTGTTATTTCACCCGAGTCTGCTCTCTGCTTATTCTAGGAGAAGAAGATCATGGAGGAGAGGCTTATCAAGATGGGGGAGAGAGATGACAGCCTTCCAGCTGAGTACCGGACCACAGAGGAAGACCTAAAGGTAACATATACAAGGTTATAGTAGGAAATAAAAGGGGTAATCCTTAAAATGCTAACGTAATGTGCTGATGATAAAGTAAATGCTAACGCTAATATGTGGTGAATGCAATACACCAAATAAAATGGTACTAAATGGCCCGTACATTATTTTACACTCTTCTACATACGTGAACGTTCCACAATAACACATAAGTAATACTGTACAATTCTGCCCACTTTCGTATTTTGTTTTTATATTGGATTAGGACTAAATAGTTAACAGTATATCCAGTGCTGTGAAAAAGTATTTGTCCCCTTTCAAATGTTCTCTACTTTGGCATATTTTTCATACTGAATGTTATCAGATCTTCAACCAAAACCTAATATTAGATAAAGGGAGCCTGAGTGAACAAATTACACAACAATTACATACTTCTTTCATTTATTTCATAAACAAAGTTATGCAACACCCAATGCCCCTGTGTGAAAAAGTAATTGCTCCCTTACACTCAATGACTGGTTGTGCGAACTTTAGTTGCGCTTCCTGTAGTTGTTGATCAGTATCTCACGTCGCTGTGGAGGAATTTTGGCCAACTCTTCCATGCAGAACTGCTTTAACTCAGCGACATTTGTGGGTTTTCAAGCATGAACTGCCTGTTTCAAGTCCTGCCAGAACATCTCAATTGGGATTAGGTCTGGACTTTGACTAGGCCCTTCCAAAACTTCAAATGTGTTGCTTTTGGATCATTGTCTTGCTGCATGACCCAGCTGCACTTCAGCTTCAGCTCACAGACGGATGGTCTGACATTCTCCTGTAGAATTTTCTGATACAAAGCAGAATTCATGGTTCCTTCTATTAAGGCAGGTTGTCCAGGTCCTGAGGCAGCAAAGCATCCCCAAACCATCACACTACCACCACCATGCTTGACCGTTGGTATGAGGTTCCTACTGTGGAAAGCAGTGTTTAGTTTTCAGAAGACATAATGGGACCCATCTGGTCCAAAAAGTTGGTTCAAGTTTGCCAAAAAGCACCTGGATGCACCTGGATGTTCATCAAGACTCTTGGAAGAATGTTATATGGACAGGCGGCAGGTAGCTTAGGGGGTAAGAGCGTTGTGCCAGTAATCGAAAGGTCGCTGGTTCTGAGCCGACTAGGTGACAAATCTGTCGATGTGCCCTTAAGCAAGGCACTTAACCCTAATTGCTCCTGTAAGTCGCTCTGGATAAGAGCGTCTGCTAAATGACTAAAATGTAAAATGTAATGTCAAAAGTATAACTTTTTGGATGGTTTGGGGATACTTTGCTGCATTTGTGTGCAGTCATTGCAGCTAAAGGTGGCACAACCAGTTATTGAGTGTTAGGGAGCAATTACTTTTTCACACACGGGAATTGGGTGTTGCATAACTTTGTTAATTAAATAAATAAAATAAGTATGATTTGTAAACTCAGGTTCCCTTTATCTAATATTAGGTTTTGGTTGAAGATCTGATAACATTCAGTATAAAGAAAAAATACAGAAAATCAGAAAGGTGCAAATACCGAGTTTGGGAAACACTAATATAGGGTGTAAGCAAGGCTGTATATTTAATAAGGTTTTGTGTATTTTCTCCTCACAGGCAATGGCAGAGGCCAAAGTCCAGGCTGATGTTAGACCCAAGCAGGTGAGGTTTCTGTCCAATTGTATCTATAAGCGTACAGATCAGTCGTATTCAATGTCATACTGTGTTGAACACAGTGCAACTCATAAAAGTAATGTTGAATTCATGTAAACCGTATGTACACTGCTGACCATCTTCCTCCTTCCTTACAGCCATCTATGGATGACAGCAATGCCCTCGACCTCTTGTCTAGCGACTTCTCTTCCTCAGCTGGTCCTGCTGCAACCTCAGTAGTGGTGACAACAAAGCAGACACAGCCCAGTCTGGAGGTACGTACATAGGGCCCGATTCAGACTTAGGAAATCGATGCCTTTTTGACGCTTTGTGATTTAAGCACTTCTCAGTAGTTGGTATTCAGACTCACCGAATGCAGGTGCGTAACCCACTCTGCAGGTGTGGATCCCTTGCACACTCTCTGCATTTGAGGTTACTAAGCACATGAAACTGGTCCGCGAAATTCTTAATATATTTAGCTCAGACTCCATGTCATCATCAGATAAAACCTTGTGTGCCTCTGCTACTCTACCGTAGCCTCTCTTTCACACAGGTACATGTTCATTTTCTTTTTTGTCAATGTACCTCTTCAGTGTCATTCAGTCTATTTTTCCATCACTTGCTGCTGCTCAAATGGACTTCTTCCTTTCTCTCAGTTCATTGGCTGCTCTCTCAAGAACCTCAAAGGGGTCTGCTTGTTTTACATTTGTATACACAGAGCTTGATGTCTGCTCTGTAACAATAAAAACAATATATATATTTTTAATTTAACCTTTATTTAACTAGGCAAGTCAGTTAAGAACAAATTCTTATTTAAAATTACGGCCTACACCGGCCAAACCCGGACGACGCTGGGCCAATTGTGTGCCGCCCTATGGGACTCCCAATCACGGCCGGTTGTGATACAGCCTGGAATCGAACCAGGGGGTCTGTAGTGACGCCTCAAGCACTGTGATGCAGTGCCTTAGACCGCTGCGCCACTCGGGAGCCCAACAGAACTTGAGTTCATATGCATGACACATTGCAAAAATACTTATGCATAAAACTGACAAAATGTAATCATAATTTGTATGGGGTATGGTGGCCATTGGCTCAAACATTTTGACTATATTAGCTCAAACAGCTACAAGGATGCACTTTCATGCTAGGTTTAGGACCTCATATTGTAGCTTATAGACAGTGGTGGGAAAAGTATCAAATTGTCATACAAAACTAAAGATGCCTTAATAGAAAATGACTCAAGTAAAAGTCACCCAGTAAAATTGTACTTGAGTATGAGTCTAAAACTATTTGGTTTAAAATATATTTAAGAATCAAAAGTAAATGTAATTACTAAAATATACTTAAGTATCAAATGTAAAAGTATAAATCATTTCAAATTGCTTATTAAGCAAACCAGACGGCACCATTTTCTTGTTTTTTAAATTTACGGATAGCCAGAGGCACACTCCAACATTCAGACATAATTTACAAACTAAGCATGTGTGTTTAGTGAGTCCGCCAGATCAGAGGCAGTAGGGATGACCAGGGATGTTCTATTGATAAGTGTGTGAATTGGACCATTTCCCTGTCCTGCTAAGCATTCAAAATGTAACGAGTACTTTTGGGTGTCAAGGAAAATGTATGGAGTAAAACAATATTTTCTTAAGAACTGTAAAGTAAAAGTAGTCACAAGATATAAATAGTAAAGTAAAGTAAAGTACAGATACCCAAAAAAACTACTTAAGTAGTACTTTAAAGTATTTCTACTTAAGTACTTTGCACCACTGCTTATAGAGACCACAACTGATGTATAAATCAATCTTAAAACAATCTACTTAGGTTTAGATACAAGCATCATGACACCTATAACACAATACATTCATTTGACTTTGTGAAAATCAGTTTTTGCTTACCACTTTTTCCATGTGGTTTCTTCTTTCACAGACTCTTTCACATGACTTCTTCCTAAATATTTAGTCACATTATTAATTTTGTGTATGGTTTCCTGGAAACAAGGGGTGGCTCAACTAACCCTTTGGCTCAATTTACCCCACTCTCTCCTACATTTATCTAAAGCCATCCCTTTAAATACGGTGTACCTTAAGAATGTTGTTGAAAGATTCACTAGACTAGAAAATATAGAGAACGGGTTCAGAATATTGGGGATCAATAAAAGAAAGCCATCTAAATATATGCATATTCGTCTTTGTTTCAGGACCAATTGGTAGATTTAAAAATACTCTGATCTTGTAGATTATTTAGGGTTTAGGAAAGTATTTAAAACTGGTTTGGAGAGCCTTTAGGCACTATTAATGGTAATTAATATTAACAGAACATGCAAGTCGAGGATGCAACGATGTGCGGTCCTTCTTACCTAATTCAGATGCGCACTTTGAAGATGTTAGACTAACTGTCCACATTTACCTTTCCTCAGCCAACAAGACGAATAACGAACAGCAAAGTCACTAGCCTATGTCAATCTAAAATCCTCCATAGTAGAAAGGTTAACCTATTCTATTGGTCAGCTTGTCGAGAAAGAAATAGCCTATTCCAAACAGACTCTGGGACAGTTGTGGGAAAATGGATCCCAAATTCATACAACCAGTAGGCCTAGGCTACATATATTTTTTTTTAAGCAATGAGTCTGATACAACAGATCAGAAAGTTTAGCTTAAAATATTGATAAACGATTATTTCTTCACATTATAGGCGCAGCAGTGCGCACAAGGCTGTAGGCTATGCGTGAATGTTTGTTCCATAATGCAATTAGTTGTCAAAACCGAACCGCACATCAAATCAAATGTTATTTGTCACATGCACTGAATACAACAGGTGTAGACCTTACCGTGAAATGCTTACTTACAAGCCCTTAACCAACAATGCAGTTTTAAGAAAATAGAGTTATTGATATCATGTTTTTATAGTGTAATGATGTCATGTCATAGTATCGTGGGGAACAGGTTAGAGTTACTAGATAAGTGGTTAGGAGACAGAAAGTCTACATTCCATTATGCCAAAGGAGATTACTGATGTTTATGGTAGTATGATTGATAGACAGGATATAATGACCTGGGGCAAAGGGTAATAACAACAGAGAAAGGGAGTGCTATGATGGCTGCCAGATGTATGTGAAAGGGAGTATAACCAAGAGTATAAAGGAGGTTAGATTTGTATGTGTGGGCAGTTCAACTGACGAAGGGCAAAGCCATGTCCGTTTGTTAGATGAACCTACGAGCTCGTGATCCAATAAAAACTTGGTATAAAATCTCCACAGAATGTCTAAGTAAATTCTTGCATCTTGAACTTCTCAATACCAGAAACTCATCATAACAGAAAATATTTACTAAATAAACTAAAGTTTAAAAAAGTAACACAATAAAATAACAATAATTAAGCTATATACAGCGGGTACCGGTACCGTCAATGTGCGGGGGTACAGGTTAGTCGAGGTAATTTGTACATGTAGGTCAATGCAAATAGTCCAGGTGGCCATTTGATTAATTGTTCAGCAGTCTTATGGCTTGGGGGTAGAAGCTGTTAAGGAGCCTTTTGGACCTAGACTTGGCACTCCAGTACCGCTTGCCGTGCAGTAGCAGAGAGAACAGTCAATGACTTGGGTGACTGGATCCGAGCAGTTTCATGTGACGGAGACAAAAATATCTGTTTAAAATTTAGAAAGAGGGGAGGTCTAATATGCAACAACTAGCATGGGTTGCTAATATGACTAGGATTGTGCCTTTGGCTACTGGACAATGAAAGAAAGTTGATATAAAATAATTGCCTCAACGGATATGGTCTGATTTTGGCTAGGCTACTTTGAAGCAAGGTAAGACATGCCTCATAATATGTAGTATCACGTTCAGGCTTCAAACAATTAAGTATATGTTTTCAAAATGTATACTGCCTTCAGCTCATTGCAAAGTGGTGTGTGACGCGCTGATGAAGCCTGCCTTCCCTTGCCTCTGTATTTGCTGTTTGAGATGCTGTAGTAGCAGCTCTTGTGCTGTCTGACAGATTTACCGCTCAAAGGCTCTGTATGCTGTAGGCATGTGATAAATAAGATACATAACGAATATACTGTACACACGTGCAAATTTAATTCCACAACATTATGCAAATTAACCTACAGCGATAAGCATGACCAGTCAAATGTATGTCCAGACTGGTATTTCCATCAATGAATGGGCTAAAAAACATTATTATTTCGCAATGGGATTTGTTCCTTCTTCTCCCGGACAATTGGCCGTCGGCAATTTTTATTTATCGCTTTTCTATTTTTTTTGTATCGGCCAAAAGCCGGCTACTTGGATCTCCAAATTTAATCCCCGCAAATTACGAGGACATACAATTACAATTCTGAAAAACGGCACAGCTATTTATAGCCTACTTCACTGTGGAAAAGGGGCCGAAATACATGATGCTGATATGATTTTCAGTTTGCTTCCATATGACTGGTTTCACATTAGTCTCCAGTGATCATGAGGAAAAATCATATCAAACAATTGCTATTTGTATTAACAATCCCCATTCTCCAAATGGATTACTCATTATCCTAGCGCTTATCAATTTATAAATTACAGTGCATGGAGAATGGTGTTATTTCTATCGAAAAAAGGAAAGTTGAGGTTTTTCCACTTGGAACACTTCAGAAGACACCTCTGCCACTCCTCCATTTCTGTGATCTCCACCCCAAAAGTATAGCTGGCTGGCACGTGCGTTCCCCCATGCTGAAGTTCAAGGTCAGAATAAGCGCAGAGAGAAAAGTGCATAAAAAGGGAATTAAGTTCCATTTACACGTGCGTAACTCAGGTCTGAATTCCTCCCATACTGCAGACTGACAAACGAACACCAAAGTGAGTCTCCGATTAGGAATGCTGATCTAGGGTCAGTTTTGCCGTTTGGATCATAATGAATAACATTATATAGACAGGACATCAGCACCTACACTGAGATGCTTTTTGAATACAGGCCCTGAGATGTTTTGTTGGTTGGCAGGTTTATGAATTGGCTGGCTGTTTGTGTTTCTCTGTCTAGCCCATGTCTGGCCCTGTTCTGGATGACCTGGCAGGCACCCTGCTCCCAGATGCCCCTGAGTTCAAATCCAAAGGAGACAAGCCAAAGGTGAGCAGGGTATCTAGCAGCAACATGGTCTCATTAGAATATGTCAAAAGAGTGACATTTAACCATTGTAGTTACATATCTCTGAAGCTGACATATTATGCCCCAAAACATTCAACATATTTCTAATGAGATCTGCTAGTATATGAAGACAACAGTGGAGGCTGATGGGAAGAGCGGTAGGAGGATGGGCTCAATGTAATGGCTGGAATGGAATAAATGGAACAGTATCAAACATATGGAAACCGCATGTTTGACTCCGTTCCATTAATTCCATTCCACCCATTACAATGAGCCCATCCTCCTATAGCTCCTCCCACCAGCCTCCACTGGAAGACTAACTTTCCATTGATTCTCTGGTTATGGAGAAACAGATATGGTTGTTGATTGTCTTACAGTGCCCTCTAGTCTTATCGAGATGTATTACAAGTCTCCCGTATCACTTTACCATAGCGCTCCCTGAAGTTGTATCCACACTGAACAAGGTGTCAATTTTGTTTATTGCAGAGCAACAGCAAGTCACGGTCTAAGTCAAAGGTAAGAAAACTATACCTTGAGAAAACCTGAATGAAATTAGATCCTAATAATCATTTGAGATACATGCCCATATTCATGTGATATTATATAAATGTCCGCTAATTGACTTGACCTTTGGTCTCAGAAACAACAGGAGGAGGACCCATCAGCCATAGACCACCTGTCTGGAAAGCTGAGTTCAGACGTAGTGCCAGGATCCAAAAATAAGGGTGGCAAGAGCTAGACCTCTAGGTAAGGACTTGACCATCAAGTACCTCAGGAGCACATATTTCAAAAGTAGCCTACAAGACTCAACCAACTTGAAACAATGTGACTGTGATGCTACAATGCAGGCTTCTATATTCCTTATATTCCCTAAAGTACTAGCATACATACAATTTAGTCTGATTTAGTGTCTTAGTACAGGATTTCTTTGTCTTCTCCTGTGACATTGACTGTTTTTATGTATTGCAGGTTTCTAGCGCACTACATGTCCCCTGCCACATGGAGGCGCCACTAGAGGGAGCTGCTGTGAACGATGATTCTATTTTTCTAAATGGTGGAGAATGTATACTGGATGAAAAACAAACATGACCACACACACACTTACACACACACACACTGTGTGCAACGCCTTTCCTGCTTGGTTTCGCACATGACAGAAGATTGTACTTGTTTTGGTTTCTTTCCTTTGAGATGAGGAGAGCAAAATAAAGAGAGAGCGAGAGAGAGAAAGAGAGAGAGCATCTGTCCAATCCTGTGAGGAATATAAAATGGAGGTGTTGCCCACAAGTGGCCTGACTGACTGTCCATCCTAGCTAACAGTCTGTATTGCCCCAATGTTGCAGTGACGTTGCTTCAACATTGCTACAATGTTGGGTAATAGTGAGCGTGATCTGGGTTTAGGAACAGTATATAGTGGGTATATAGGATTGTGATGTCTGTGCAATCTTGTTTTACACAGAAAAGCGAGTTTTCTGTTATGTGGACTGCCAACATAAGACACTAGCATACAGCATAGTCTGCTTAGTTTGATGATAACACTTAGTTTACTATATTGAAACGTGTAAAAGGATTTACAGGAAATGATCTGCTTGGTACGGATACATCTGAGAGCTCATGCAATTCTATATATTTACTTTCTGTAAAGCGATATCTATCAAGAAGGGTCTATATGTGTGTACTTTGCCTCGTAGAAGAATGTATTGGTTTCCGAAAGTGCACTTACAAGTAAACTTGGGTGGTCACTACCTCTGTAAACTGCTTTTGTTTGTATACTGTAAAACACAGTCCCAAGGGCTTTCACTTCTACTCAAAAAGCTGGTATGACAGAATTCTACATATAGTATTTCGGTGCAGGTCTCAAACTCAAAACTTGAGAGATATTTTGGAAATGGGAATTCTAATTTAATAAAAATATATGTGAAAAATAATTGGTTTGCTGTGTGTATTCAGTATTCAAGTGTCTGTAGTAACTACTTGTGCCTCAACAACCGAAAAACAGAAACACAATTTTTGTAGCTAACATGGGGTAGCCTAAATGTACTTTGCCAATAAAATGGCAATAAGAAAATGCCAAAAACAATTAATGACAGTAGTAGGATACATAATTTGTAGGAGGGTCATTTGGTATAGGCAACTTACTGTATATTTTGTTGCAGTAAAGGGAATACTTATATATATTTTAGAAAGGATTTCACATGTAATATTAGGAAAATCTTTCTATTGTCCGAAGCAGCTCAGTAGTTTTTAAATTTTGTTTAGTTTTACAATGCTGTTCCCTCCTCTGACATTGGTGGTTTTTAGAGTGCAACAGCCTTGGACGCTTGTGGAGTAGAATTTGAATAGATTTAAAGAGTTGTAAACAAAAAATTAAAATAAAAAAGCTTTGTAGTTTTACCATTTCTGTCTCATCATTCAGATTGTAAGAGATTAGTAATATAAATTAACGGAGACAGAGAATTTCACATTAACATGCCTTTACAGTTACAAGAACACTCATGTTGTATATACACAATGGTACAATCATTCAAGTATTCCAAAAATATTACTTTCTTCCAAATATACGAAACTGAATAGTATGGGGAAGAATTACAACAATTTGAGGCATACATTTTTTTTTTTACATTAGTTTTATGGAAGATTCATCACTGCAGAGCTTGTCTTTGGTATTATTTACAGAACATGAAAGTAAGAAAGTGAAAAGTATCTTATTACATCCGTATAAACTTAGCTACAAGCAATACATCTCCATTTATTAGAGTAATGACATGAATCATATTCACAAAGTTGCCATAAAGCCAGTATGTTGATGAAATGAAGAGTGAGTATTAGGCTATTTCAACTAGATAAAAGGTGTTACAATTCAAGTGTATCAAATAGAATCCATTGAATTGTTCATAGCAAAGAGACATTGCACCATCTTGTTTCCCTCTTTCTCAGTGGAAATCTTTGTCTGTGAGAAGAATAGACAATGAACAGCTGTGTCATAAGCATCACTAACTACATTGTGAATGTCAGGTCGAAGTTTTAATCTGTTCAATATTTTAAATATATATATAGTTGTTTTGGGCTGTCTTGTTTTTTTCAGCAATAGTTGTAATTACTTTACTATAAATACTGAACCATAATATTCCAAATAATATATTAGTTTGTTGTTGGCTATAGGATGTTGTTTCCCTGGTGCTCCCCTTCTTGGCCTGAGTACAAGAGAAAAATATAAGAGAAACTTGTCTTTCTAACTACAAACTCTGTTGGGTCGTTTGGGGGGAGAAAACTCCCAAAAGTGCGGACCTTCTCTAATTTCTACGTACATTATAACAGTACATAGGGTTCTATTCAATCTGTAAAGATGAAGCGTTACTGATTCCGCAATAGAAATGTCATGGTCATTTCCGATTGAGCCGACATATGCAGCGTTTACCATGAAAGCAGTCTCCGCTAAAGCGGGAACATTGCCTTTAAATTGATATCACGCTGTAAATCTGAACTTCTGTGATGCGGATTGAATAGAGTCTTAACAGTCTGGTCCATAATTATTGGCACCCTTGATAAAGAGACTGTATAAAATAAATAATACAAATACTGAGCTATATTGTATGCTACATTTCTTGGGGAAATGATATTATTTTATACTACTACAATTGCTCAGAGAAACAACGCCAAACCCAGCACTGGTGTGCATGGCCAAATAACTCTTATTTTAATGTCATCTGACCATAGCACCGCCTGCATTTTGATAAAAGGCATTGGCACTTGGATTGGAACCGGTGCTATGGACATATGACATGAAAATAGAGCTCTTTGGCCAAGCACACGAGTGGTGGGTTTGGTGTTGAAAAACACAAACACATGCAGAAAAGTACTTCATACCTACAGTAAAATATGGTGGTGGATCTTTGGTTATGGGTCTATTTTGCCTTCACTGGTCCTGGGGCCCTTGTTAAGGTCAACGGCATCATAAACTTTACCAGGACATTTTAACCAAAAACCTGGTTGCCTCTGCCAGGAGGCTGAAACTTGGCCACAAGTGGATCTTCGAGCAAGACAATAACCCCAACCACTACTTAAAATCCACAAAGAAAAGGTTAATTGACCACAAAATCAACATTTTGCAATGGCCATCTCAGTCTCTGGACTTGAACCCCATTGAAAATCTGTGGTTTGAATTGAAGAGAGCAGTCCAGAAGTGCAGACGAAGGATATCAAGGATCTGGAAGGATTCTGTATGGATGAATGTTCTCCAATCTCATAAAACATTTTAGAAAAAGGCTCTGTGTCGTTATCCTCACAATCATTTTCCATAATTTTGACTCCTACCTTTTTAAAACTTGTTAAACAAAATCTCTTTCTCTGTGCAATTGTATTAGTATAAAATAATATACTTTCCCAATTGTTTTACAAAAAAAGAATTTACTAAATATAAATGTAGCATACAATATAGCTCAGTATTTGAATCATTTATTTTATACAGTCATTTTTGCTCATCTTTATCAAGGGTGTCAATCATTTCAGACCTGACTGTATATGTTTGCCATACTAAAGAGGTAAAAACCGACTTTCTTTTGTAATGATGTGGGCATCGTTTTACTCTTATACTTAAAGCAAAAATAATTGTAACATTTAAAAATAAATAATAATGAATAGTGATATAGTATTAATAATAATAATGATATAATTTACTTATAACATTGAAATATAGAAAGTGTATGAAAAATGCCATAAATTACAGCTGAGTAATGGTGACAGTGTATTTCCATCAACTAGGTTCAATGCTCTTGTTTTGCTTGGTGGGTAAGAGTGTTTCAGGTGAGTGTATATAAGTGGGTGTTTCGTAGGTACATGAGGATATGAGTGGGTGTACACATATGCAGGACTCACGGTTGCAGTGGCATATGGTGATGAAGAGGAGGAGGAAGAGGAAGCCACAGCCAGCAGCAAATGGGCCCAAATGATCAGATCACAGGATGTACTAGGGTCCATCTTTCCCACTGCAAAAACACAAGTCAAACAGGGAACACATTTTTGTTCAACCACATTGGATAATGGCAAATACCCAGTCAGTTTAACATTGGTTATCCAAAACAACCCTATCAATGATGATTAGAATAATGTTGTTGATGATGATGATGAATCAAAACTTGGTAGTTGTAGATCTGGTTAGCTCTATGGCTGTGGTAATTGGTGGCGTCGTCGTGGTTGTTGTAGGTGGAGGGGCTAGAGAAAAAGGAAAAAGTGAGGTGTTGTTAGCATGGATAACTTTCAGACCGTTTTAAACTTATTTAGGCTATAGCCTTGGCTACAATAAACCTCTGATTGAAAAACCATTGTTGCCATTGTTGTCTAGAACTTGATTATTCTGATACAATTCATTTATGTAATGTAGCCTAGCTAGCCTACTCACCTGGCCCAGCAAGTCGAGTTACTTCACCATACACTAGCACGTTCCTGTTGATTGATGCACAGCTGTAGACGCCACTATCTTGCGCCTTTTTGAAAGCCTTCAGTATCAAGATGTCTTTGCTTATCTGGTCCCCACTGAAGACCCCGTGTAGCTCAGTTGGTAGAGCATGGCGCTTGCAACGCCAGGGTTGTGGGTTTGATTCCCACGGGGGGCCAGTATGAAAAATGTATGCACTCACTCTGGATAAGAGCGTCTGCTAAATGACTAAAATGTAAAAAGACTTTGGTGTCAAAAAAGTCTGTGCTTTTCTTAATACCATCCTTGGAATTAAACGATGCAATAAACTCCATTCCAGCGTTGTCCTTCACTCGAAACCAAATCACCATGTTGCCCTTAGGTTTCGGTCTCCATCCATTTTCTCTGTTAGAGAACTCAGTTGGAGAGTTTTTGATAGCGTTTGTGAAAAAATTAGAGATTCAACAAATAAATACATAAATCATTTCTTATTTAAAGATGTATTTAAAAAACTGAAATTACTGAAACGTGATCAATTATTCAATGGGGTTACAAGCTTATAGCCTAAAACTATTTTGTTCACAAAAAGACAGTCTAGAGACAAACCTACAACACAAATTAAATGACCCTTCACATGGAAATTAAAATAGACATAGACTATGCTATTTATTACAATGGTATTATTTATTCCAATAAAAGTAGCCTATTTAGTCAGCTTACTACACGAATGCCAAGAACGTTGTGCATATAGGCCTAGGCTAATTGTATTTCAGATTGATAAAGCTAAAACATTATATTTAGCCACACTTATGAACTAGGCCTATGAGAGTGCATGTATTCTGGCGACATCATGGAAATCCATCGATTACTTTAGTTTAAACTATCCAACCTACACTGAAGGGAATAAACCCGTAGGCTATACTATACTTACCTTGACAAAATAACAGTAAAACAAGTGTCTGCATCCACCTTTGGACTATTTTCATGTCTTTTGGCACAGCAATACTTTCAAGATCTTCATCCTGGGATGTAGAAACCGGTATCATGAGGAGCTCAAAACAACCTTAAACCCCGCCCCAAGTCATTTTTCATCACTGTTAAACCGGTTCATTGCAGGAGTCTTGCACAAAGCTCGTGCACCCCAAGGTGGTCTAGAGCCCACCAATCCGCGCTGCGCCTCACAACAGGCTGGCTTTGCACACAAACTGCACGCGGTCTGTGCGCTAACCCACAACACAATGTGGCGACAAAAACTAGGTAAAGACTAGGCCAAATGCGAATGGAAGTCAAACTTTCAACGGGGGGAATGAATGTAAGACAAGAGCAGCAGATGCACTTTTGAGGACGAGATTCTGTGCTGCCCCGTTGATAAACATCTATTGCAAGAATATCCGAAAAATATCATCAGTAGGCCTATAATTATAAAGGCTATTATCTAGACTTGACAATATTTGTTTCAAATAATGTTAACAAAAACATATTTTATTTCTTTCTGGTATTACTATTATCTTTGCAACATAATGTATTTATCATGTAGAAGGCCTATATCATGTCCAAATTAGGCTATATGCCTATATTTCAATAATCTACAGCCTAAATCAGTGCATGGTGTCAAAGTTTAATAGATAGCCTAGACTTTAACAGATTAGAAATCTGAAATAACCCTGAAATAGTTTCACACAGCCATAGTTCCTTAAAATGTTTGAACATAAACTGCCACCTGGGTGTCTGAAAATAGTTTATGATCTTTTGAAACATATTTTATTTTTTATTTTTTTAAAGAAAAACTACTGCAATATTGCGAAAGACTTCTGAGAAGATTCAAAGAAAGGCTATTCATTTGTCGAGGATTCTCAAGACTTTTGTAAGCAGCTGGTCAATAAATTGTAGGTCGAATATTATGTTAATGACATGATTTGAGATAAGATAACATTGAAATACATTTTATTTTTGTTTTGAAGGGTGAGGCTCTGCTTATAAGACAATTTAAGGTTCCTCTCTTGTGCAAATAAAATAACATTGAATCAAATTAATTTGGATAACTTTTGGATTAATTTAGATAACAATCTAAAACTATAAAGGCTCATAAATAACAAGGCCTATTCATGAAATATACTGAGTGATGTGAATAAATGTTTGGTTATATCGCCCCCTAAATGCAAGAAATAGTTCACCAAAAGTCAAATCTAATTTTGCGAAAAATGCCAACAGCCTACTTGCATTGATAGATGTTGGGTTCTATCCAACTAATTGTTTGAATCATTTCTAATCCCCCTATTATTATTATTTGTATTATTATTTTTCCCCAACCCTACCAACCCTTCCCTGATTGGAGTAAACTAATGGACAACAATAAGTATTCTACTGCTACTTACAGCTATTTTCAACCATTTTACTATTTCCTTTTGCAATACATCCTTCTATTTTACTGTGATGTCTTACGAGGGTCTTGAACTTCTGTATTTGTACAATTTCTACCGAGATTGCCCTAAAAATAAATATTCTACCTAAGAATATAATCATATTTCCCATTGATTGATGGTGTTATTTTTTCCAGATCTGCTAACAGTACTGTTTATAGGTCCATCTGAACACAGACATTACGACTTAACAACCATCCCTGGACCTGACTCCAAGAGCGAGCCACTGAAGGACAGTACCAAAAGGGCTGACTGTTCAACGCCACCGATATTGAGCATTATTTTGGTGGCGATAATTTTATATAATAGTTTAAGTGAAAATAACGGATTGATGTGTCGATTGTTGTTTTGTATATACGTTCATAAACCCCTCAAAAATCGGTTTCCAACTATCTTGAATTTTATGCGGCATAGTTGTCAAACCTCTCTCCCTTCAGTGAAACTGCTACATTTATACTAGTCATTTTAAACCGTGCATGGGTTTTCACTGATGGCAAACAAACCCATTCATTCCTTTTTCTTTGAGTAATTGCTTCTTCCATTTTTGTGGCAGAGCTGCGTGAGTTGGTTAGACTTTTGTATTGAGAATACATCTCCATACACATTTGTTAATTGCTTGTGTGACAATTTTACCATCCTTATTTACAATTTACAATGTCATTCATAAACATGATACCTTCCTTATACAAATTGGTCTTTCCTCTATCAGTACATTGGAGTTTATTATTTGCTGTAATATTTGTTCTGCCTCTGGAGGATGAAATTGGAATTGTACCCAACTCTGTATGGTTTCATTTTAAAAGGAGCATACTTTAAAAAAGGTGTCATTGTCAATCCACCGGAAATGGTTGGTTTTAATCTGTATAACGGTAAAAAGCCCCTTTTTGAACATTGTATGTGTCTCTCTTAGTAGCCTGCTGGAAACCCAGTTTGGATTTAGACATAATTTCGATATAATGGAGGCTTTAAGAGAGAGGATTAATGCCTTAATATTTAATAGTTTTAACCCTCCAAACTCACCCCACTGGGCACACACTGGTTCAATGAACGTTGTTTCCACGTTGAACCAACGTGGAATAGAGGTTGAATTGATGTCTCTGCCCAGTGGGATGTTCGTTATACAAATATGCCCGTTTAACTTTAGCCTACTTCCATTGATGATTCAAGTCGAGGAAATGAGAATGGCTGCACCTGTTGTATCGATGACTCAGTGGGGACAACCTAGGTTTTGAGGAGGATGAGAGACAAAATGAGCAAGGAAACCCGCCTGCAGGACCCAATGTTTTGATACATTGACATTTTTCAAAAGACAACTCAATTGTAGCCTAGACTCATTGTAGACTGTATCCACTTCATTTATCACCTTTTACGCATGTGACTGTATCAACATGGATAGGCTATTACGCTACAGTCTAACCAGCCCTATACTGGCTATTATAATCACCTCTTGCCTATATGTTGGCGTAGGCGAATGTGTCGCCCACATTATATTAGCAGTTTGGCCACCCTCTCAAAAATTAGCCAAGGACATGACGGTTTCAACACGCTGGACAGAGCCAATGACGTCTTCTACTGGTCTGTTTCAGAAAAGCCGCTGTCCTTTCTCCTAACACTTTAGTGCTTGTTTGTTTCTCTTCCGTTAGCTAAGACATGTAAAACGAAGCTTCTGTACATTCGATGGAAAGAGTCCTGACTCAAAGATAGCCTTACCGGAAGAGTGTAGGCTACAGACACTAACTCATGCGATCAGCCAAGTGACATCACCTGTGGCGCAACGCTGTAGCCTATACATCCTGTACAATTGTGGAAAAATGACTTTAGCTTCAATACATACAGTGGATTCGGAAAGTATTCCGACCCCTTGACTTTCTCCACATTTTGTTACGTTACAGCCTTATTCTAAAATTGATTAAATACTTGTTTCCCCTTATCAATCTACACACAATACCCCATAATGACAAAGCAAAAATTGGTTTTTAGAAAATTTGGCAAATGTATTAAAAATAAGAAACAGAAATACCTTATTTACATAAGTATTCAGACCCTTTGCTATGAGACTCGAACTTGAGCTCAGGTGCATCCTGTTTCCATTGATCATCCTTGAGATGTTTCTACAACTTGATTGGAGTCCACATGTGGTAAATTCAATTGATTGGACATTATTTTATGAGGTCCCACAGTTGACAATGCATATCAGAGCAAAAACCAAGCCATGAGGTCGAAGGAATTGTCCGTAGAGCTCCGAGACAGGATTGTGTCGAGACACAGATCAGGGGGAGGGTACCAAAACATTTCTGCAGCATTGAAGGTCCCCAAGAACACAGTGGCCTCCATCATTCTTAAATGGAAGAAGTTTGTAACCACCTAGAACTGGCTGCCCGGCCAAACTGAGCAATCGGGGGAGAAGGGCCTTGGTCAGGGAGGTGACGAAGAACCCGATGGTCACTCTGACAGAGCTACAGAGTTTCTCTGTGGAGATGAGAGAACCTTCCAGAAGGACAACCATCTCTGCAGCACCACCAATCAGGCCTTTATGGTAGAGTGGCCAGACGGAAGCCACTCCTCAGTAAAAGGCACATGACAGCCCACCTGGAGTTTGCCAAAAGGCACCTAAAGGCCTCTCAGACCATGAGAAACTAGATTCTCTGGTCTGATGAACCCAGGATTGAACTCTTTGGCCTGAATGCCAAGAGTCATGTTTGGAGGAAACCTGGCACCATCCCTATGGTGAAGCATGGTGGTGGCAGCATCATACTGTGGGGATGTTTCTCAGCAGCAGGGACTGGGAGAATAGTCTGTATCGAGGGAAAGATGAACGGATTAAAGTACAGAGAGATACTTGATGAAAACGCGCTCAGGACCTCAGACTGGGGCGAAGGTTCACCTTCCAACAGGACAACAACCCTAAGCACACAACCAAGACAACATAGGAGTGGCTTCGGGACAAGTCT